GCAGGGTTGCACGAGCCTCGCGCACGCGAAAGGCAAGTGTGTGCGCCACGGCGGCCGCCGACCTTGCAGCGCCGACGGCTGCCTCACCCACGCGCGGAAAGGCGGCTACTGCTGGCGCCATCGCGACCTCTCCGCGTCGAGTGTTGGCACACCGCCGGCGACCGCCGACTCGTTTGCACCGTGGAGCCTCCTCGACGGACCACCGTCGACCGAGATTGACGGCCTCGACTACGCGATCCTGCAGACGCTGCTGGTGAGCCCCGACGCGACACCAGCACTGCACGTGCCCAATTAGTCGATTGTCTTTTCCATAATTTAAATTGAACGTAGCGGCATGTTTACGCAGCCTAGGTCTAGGATACTGGCCCCGAATCGTGACAGGTTGCTGACCACTTGCTGATCGGCACTGTCGACAGACCCAAACCTCAGAGTGTGCCTCCTTCACAAGACGCTCTTGCTTGATACGTACGCGCTTGGTCGTCGTCGACAAGGCTTCTCGCTCTTGGTCGCAGTCGACCGACAGCGTCATGGCCAGTGCACTACAACGCGGCGTAGTGGATGGACTTCTGCCCCGAAATCCGTCGCACCGGCGTTCGGCACCCGACAATACTACATCTATGTACAAGTAGCGGTGAATAGCCACTTCCCACTACGTTGAAAAGCCAAGTGCGAACTAATGCGCGACGTCACGAGCCTCTGGTCGCCAGCAACAGAGCAGCCGATGCGAAGAATTGCGCGACGTCACGAGCAAATCTTGGAGTTCAAATCGAACCCGTGAATCCGCCGTAAAGTCTCAAAAGATTTTGCGCGCTGGAATCGTCGCGGCGTACCAGGACACGCTAAATGGCTGTCAATATTTGCCGCCAGCACGCAGACGCCGTCCGTGTCGAGTTGTCGATCCCACGGTCGGCTTGGATTTTATTGAAGTTTCCAGGCGGGCTCCCGGGGCGAGAAGATGCTCTACCCTCGCGCTATCTAACTGGTAACAGTTCACCTTGTAGAACGCTCGATTAGGGCACTCAATAGACCAATATTCGATTGACCGCTCGCCCTTGGGAGTGGCGGATACAAGCGACAAAGCCAATGTACGTAACCTGCTGTCGACTCATCGCGTCTACCGGTATCTGGACGGCAAACTTCAACTTCCTGGCCGCACCCGGAAGCACCAGTACCACGTTCAACACTATGTCGGGCAGAGTATAAGACGGTTGATTGCATCCAAAGGCACTGAATCGTCTCCACCACGATACGGGTCGCCGCGAGCTACTTCAAGCCGAGCCACGTGGTGCGTACCAAACCAAACCGGTAATACGTGCTAGCAAGAGTAATTTTGTTTCTTTGGTGCTAGCGAAAACGCGCTATCGATACACTAGTACGCACAAAAATTGAGCGCTGCCACGTCGGCGACGTGGCATTTCAAAGGCCTTGTCATGCGCACAACCAAACGCAACGTGGGACCTTAGAGGTGGTCTGTCCTACGTCGTGGCGCAAAACGTCATACAGTACTGGTGGCCATTAGACGCGTGCTCATGAAAGCGGGCGTGTGTGGGCAAAGACGCCATTTCAATGCGCTCACAGAGCACGACAACACGTCGCATCCAAAGAAAGCACGTGATCCATCGACGCCTTCTCCGTGTGTCAATCGGACCGTGTCACAAACCGATGCGTGCATATTGCAGTCTACAACAGCACCAAGCAAACGAGCCAAATCATTTTGGAGGCAAAAATACTGTTGGCACAGCGTCCACGACCCGCGTCACAAATAGTACTACGCACGTACTTGGCGACGGACGATGCGTCATTTGCACTGGGACGTTTAGATCTTGGTGGCGTTACTTGCTGCATTTTTCAATTGAGCATACGACGACGTAATGAGTGTCGAGTGCTGCTTCCATGGTTGTGCGAGGCCGGTGGTATCGGACTCGACCAAGTGCCTCCTGCACCGTCATCGGCTCACGTGTGCGCACGAAGGCTGCGGCAACCAAGTGTACGCGCGCGGCTGCTGCGTCCGGCACGGCGGCAAGCGCACTTGCAGCGTCGACAGCTGCGATGCGAACGCTCGTGCCATGGGCCTCTGCTCGCGCCACGCTCTGCACTCGACAAAGAAGCCGTGTATCGAGCCCAATTGTGTCAGCTTTGCCCAAGCCAACCAACGCTGCGTACGTCACGGCGGCGGCCGTAAGTGCAAGCTAGTGCACTGCTGCACAGTGGCGCGTATTGCAGGCTTTTGCCAGCGGCATGCCAAGCTCTTGCAACCAAAGTTAACCAGAGTCGCTCCATGTCTCGCCGATGATGTGGTTGCTGCCAACGACACCTTGTGGCACCTTGATGGCATGGACGATCTCGACGCCTCGATTCTAGAT